TGGACCCAGGGGGGCGGGGCGGGCTCCCTGGCCCCCTCCCCCTAGTCCCTCGCCCGGCCAAGGAGGACTCTGCGCCCCCCTTCGGTCGTCAGGGCGGCGATGGAGGCTTCTTCTGTCCCCTGCCGGGAAGCCGGAGGCCTAAGAGTGGCAGTCCCTGCGAGGCTCCGGACGGCCGAGGCGCGGAGAGGAGCTGGCCGGAGCGCAACGGGTCCACTTGGCCTTCGGGCCCTCCGCGCCCCCTCCGTCCCTGGGCCCTCTTGCCTCTCCCCGCGCCTCTGGATACTCCTGACCCCGCAACATCTGCGCCTCCCCCGCCAGTTCCCGTGTTCTCCTTTTTCGGGTTCCTGTCCCCCGTCTCCGAGCCCTGACTGCCCACTGACCAGAGACTCGGTCGCTTCATTCATTTATCTGACGAATGAAGAGCCCTTGTCGCGCTCTCCCCCGGGTCAGTCCCATGCTGGGTGAGGCCATAGGACGCAGCCATTGCCTCCTAAGACAGCGTCTTCTCCGGATACCTCCAGGTGGCCCTTTCTAACTCAGCGGGAACACTGGACCGTGCACTGTAGGGCTGTGAGCCGGGAACACTGCGCCCACTTGGTTCTGACTGCAGCAATTGGCCTAATTGACTCGTCAACTTCACGCTTCCCAGCACAGGCCCCCTCTTGAGATGCTGCGGTCTCTTCTGCAATGTCACCAGACTTTCCAATGAAATTTTCCTCTCCTGCTGCAAACTGTTCTCTACCCACATTTCTTCTACTTAGATCCAATCTCTGAGTCCGCACACATATCCAGCCCGCATAAATATGAGAGGAGGCCGAGCTAGCAACCATAGCCTCTGTTGGTGAGGAGCCAATCAGTTGGGTACATGTCCTTTCCCTCGGTGGCCTGGCTGGTCTTAAGGGTGTGTGTGTACATTTGAAGCACCAGGGAACCTTGGGTGAAGACCTGCAGTGTGGCAGACCCTGAGCCAGGCACTGGTGATAATTGAGCCCATAGGCTGGGTCTGTGAGTGGTTGTGCCCTCGAGGGCCCAGTGAGCTGGCGGTGCTTGGGTCCTGGCCACATGTGAGCCTCCTCCAGGTGAGTGGATGCCCTGTGTTATCCTGCCCTCAGAACCACCAGGAGAAAACAGAGCGAGGCCCACGTGTGTGTGTGCATGCTTGGGTGTTGTGGAGCCGCAGGAGGAGGCTTCCTGGCTGGCCCTCCAGAGGCTGTAGAGGCGGCAGTTAAGGTTGCTCATGGCTGGCCCTATGATCCTTCCTTTCTGAGACCCTGCTTGCTCTCTCTCTTCTCCAGTCTGCTTTTGTATATTTTGTGTCCATGTCACTAGACCCTCTCAATGGTTCAAAACTTTCATTTGACTTAGATTGCCTAACAGTTGTCTCCCTTCTAAGGCTGTTCCCAACTGTTATTGCCCAAGGTTATGAGGTGACAGCTCCTTATAGATACCTCTAGCAAGCACAGTGACACTGCATCAGAGGATACAATGACAAGTGAAGGCTCTTGATTTAGAGGTCTATTTCTACCTGGCTTGATCTCTTTACTTTTCAGTTAAGAGAACAGAACGAGGGCTCAGCAAATCATTATCATCATCATAATTAATAATATAGCTAGCAGGGCTCGGTGGCTCAGCCTGTAATCCCACGCCTTTGGGAGGCTGAAGTGAGTGGATTACCTGAGCCCGCGGGTTCGAGACCCGCCTGGGCAGCGAGACCTCATCTCTGCAATAAATAAACAAAAATCAGCCGGGCGTGTTAGTGCGTGCCTGTAATTCCGGCTATTTGGAAGGCTGAGGCGGAAGATCGCCGGAGCCCAGCAGGTAGAGGCTGCGGTGGCCGGGAGCAGCCACTGCACTCCAGTCTGGGCGACAGTAAGACTCCAACTCAAAAAAAGAAAAAAAAAAAAAAATATATATATAGCTTATGTTAGTTACTGTGCTTCAGGTGTTGAGTTCAGTGCATCATTCCTACTACCTCACTAAATCTTCACAGCATCAGAAGAAGAACCCATTTTACGGTTTAGAGAACTGAGGCACAGATAGGCTAATGGAGTACCTGCAGAGCAGGGACGTGGTTTGACAACAGAGCCCTTACGCTTTAACTATCGTGCTCGTCTGATACTGTTGTGAATAAAGCACCCACACGTGTCTGTAGAAGGGTAAGTGCCCCATATGAGATAGCTTCTATTAATTTTAGGTTGTCACAAGGCGCTTACCAAGACTTCTGTTGTGATAATGATAAAGCTCAGCTTTCAACAACCCATATCAAATTCTGTGATTATGGAAGTCTAGTCACCACGTCTCCGAAATAAACACAAGGCGTTGCGGGTTTAAAGTATGGTGCAGTACACGATGTCGTCCATCAGAGAGGGTCGTCGCTTCTCTCGGGATACTAGGACAAAAGATGGCGGTGGCAGAGTTGGGGGCGCGGCTGCCAACTCCGAGCCCCGGCCGACATTGGGCGGGACCGGGCGACGCCACGT